CCTTCTGGTTCGCCTGCGTTGGTGGTGGCGGTGGTGGTGGTGGTTGTGGATTGGTGGCTGCTCGGTGAAGTGCTGCGAACCTGCCTCGTGCAGCTTCGTGCTGGAGGCTGTTTGGGGCAGTTACCTGGGTCATGGGCGCGCTTGGTTGATGCTGTCCTGGGCTCCTTGCCGCACTGCTGCGTAAATCTCTTTATTGCTGGTTGACGGTTGGTGAGGGTTGGTGGCTGCTCGGGCTGCGAAAAAACATATTATACATATGTGTGTGTATATATATATATACACACCTGCAATTCTTCCTTGCGTGGGGAGCTCCCCCCTCTGCCACGCTTCAGTGCCCTAGGGCCTTAGGGTGTGTCTTTGGCTTTGTTTCTCGGATTAAGATCAGGCCACGTTAGCGAGCTGCTGGAGCATGTCTCTGCCTTACGGCCTTACCCCCGCACAGCTGACGGTGAGCACTCTCCACCCGCCGATATGCGGTGCCTGCGGCGCTTTGTCTGCTGATGCTGGTTTTTTTGCAGTATTGGTTTTGGTTCATTCTCCACTGATCTTTCGATGCTGCCCTGGGCTGCTTGCCCAGCCCCCCTGCTGCTGACGGGATACTCCTTCTTCATCTGCATCTACATAGCTGCTGATGAGTGTGTGCGATGCGGTGCGAGCATGTCTCTTTCTGCTGACGGTGATCTTTCCTTGTTATGGCGAGCTCCACCCCTCTGGAGGGTTGCAGGCGGTCGTGGGGCTTGTTCTGTGGGGTGATATTCCCCACTGCTGCTGCCAGGCTGCTCGGACCCCTGCCCCTGCTGACGCTGTCCGGGCGAAGCTTTGCGAACCTGTCTTCGTGGTCACTGTCTGGTGATGTGGAGGCTGCTTCGGCAGTTGCCTGGGTCATTTGCGCGATTGGTTGATGCTGTCCTGGGCTCCTTGCCCCGCTGCTGCTGATGCCGTGAATCCCTGTTTTGCTGATTGACGGTTGGTGACGGTTGGTGGCGAAGACCTCTGGTCTTGCTGCGAAGTGCTGCGAACATATATACGCAAATCTTCCTTGCGTGAGCTCCCGCTCCCCTTTCCGCTTCAGTGCCGCCGGCTTTGTCTTTATCCTTCCACTTTGGCGGTGGTTGTGGTTGGCGGCTGCTCCTCTTGTCGAGCATGTCTCTGATGGTTCTTCTCGCCGGGACGCGGTGCTGGCAGTACCTGTGCTGGCAGTACCTGGCGGGCTTTTCTTGGGCAGCTCTTGGTGTGGTGGCTGTTCCGATCCCTTTTCATGCTGTGATGCTGGGTTTTTCCTTCATTGTTTTTGGTGCTTTCTGTTGTTGAACGGGACCTTTCGACGCTGTCCCGGGCTCCTTGCCCAGCCCCTTTGCTGCTGACGACGGGCATCTTACCTGAGCATGTCTCTTGGATCTTTCATTCTTCATCTGCACCTCCGTTAAAGCTGCTGATGAGTGAGTGCTGCGAGCATGTCAGCAGCAGTGGCGAGCTCCGCCCCTCTGGAGGGTTGCATGTGTTTGCGGGGCTTCTTCTGTGGGGTCACCCTTTGTCTGGGCCTTTCCCCACTGCTGCTGTCGTGCACCTTTTCCCCCTTGCTGCTCCCCGGTCTTTTTGATGCTGTGAACTGCTGCCAACGTGTGTGTGTGTGTGTGTGAGTGTGTGTGAGTGTGTGTGTGTGTGTGTGTGCTTTGCCTGTGAGTGCTTCCGCACGGCCGGCGCAGGTGCAGTGGTGGTTTTGGTGGGTGGCTGCTAGCTGTGCTGGGCCCGCTGCTGGCAAGAGTGGATGCTGTGAGATGCAGCCAAAAATATCGCGGCACCCTTTCTGATGGGTTGGAAACAGCTTGGTCTGTGAGTCTCTGGCTGAGGCGGCTACGCGGCCTTTTGTCTTTCTTTGCTGATGCTGTCCTAGGCTTCTTGCCTTGCTGCTTACTGCCATGATGACTGTTGATTGTTGACGCTAACTTTTTGAGGGGCTTCTTCTTTGACTCCGTGGGTTAGCACAGTAGTATATAATGGTTGTGCTTGGCTGCTCGGCTCCTTGCCCTGCTGACTGTTGATGGTGCTGCGAACGGAAAGGGGATCTTTCCTTGTCGTGGGGTTGTTCTCGCAAAATAGCTGTGGGGCTTCTTTTGCGGCATTGGCACTTTCTGAGTCGGCTGCGTTGGTGGTGGTGGTGGTGGTGCTGGTGGTGGTGGTGGTGGTGGTGCTGGTGCTGGTGCTGGTGGTGGTGGTGGTGGTGGTGGTGGATTGGTGGCTGCTCGGACCCCTGCCCCTGCTGACTCCGTCATGGTAAAGTGCTGCGAACCAGTTTCTGCTTTGCTCCGTATGCTCGTGCAACTTCGCGGTCACTGTCTCGTGACGCGGAGATTGTTTGAGGCAGCTGCCTTGGTCATGGGCGCGATTGACGGTTGGTGACGGTTGGTGGCTGCTAGGATCTCTGGTCTTGCTGTGAGGTGCTGTGAACACATATCTGCAAATCTTCCTTGCGTGAGGTCCCCCCCTGGCACGTCCCAGGCTTCAATGCCCTAAGCTTTATTCCATTCATTTCTTGGATGGATATCGGCCGTGGTTGCGGTTGGTGGCTGCTCCTCTTTTTGAGCATGAGGTGCTTGCGGCGCTGGTTCTGTCTGCGAATACCTGGCGGGCTTTCCGGACAGCTCTTGGTGTGGCTGTTCGGACCCCTTCCCCATGGTGATGTTTTGTTCCTTGCACCATTGTTTTTGGTGCTTTCTCTCCGTGTGCTGACGGGGGCTTCTTGCCCCCTTGCCTTTACTGTATTTGCTGATGCTTTGCTGGGCTTCTCGCTTATGCCATGGACGACGGTTGATTGTTGAGGCTGGCTGTTTGTGGGGCTTCGTACGTGAGTCCCTGGGGTCAGCAAAATAGTTGCGGGGCTTCTTCTGTGGCATTGGCAGCTGGCTGGCTTTCTGGTTCGGCTGCATTGAAAGTTGGTGGTGGTGGATTATAGTGGCTGCTCGGACCCTGCCCCTGCTGACGCTGTCCTGGTGAAGTGCTGCGAACGTGTCTCTGCCTTGCTCCCAGCTCCTGCAGCTTAGTCGGTCACTGTCTCGTAACGTAGAGGCCGTTTGGGGCAGAGATGCTGGGGCCTCCCCCTGCCGGGTCGCGATGCTTGCGGCGCTTGGTCTGTCTGTAAATACCTGGCGGGATGTTTCCTTATGTGGTGAGCCGCCTTATATGAACTCGGATGGCGCAGCTGCGTTGCTCGTGGGTGTAGTTGGTTGATGCTGCCCCAGGCTCCTTGCCCCCAGCCGCCGTGCTTCTCCATTTGGGCCTCCGACGTGGCTGCTGCTGACGGGGATATTTCCTTCTGCAGCTAGACCTCTGGGCCTCCTCTGCTGCTGATGAGTGTCTTTGATGTGCTGCCTGCACATCTATTACTGCTGACGGGGATCTTTCCATGTTGTTGGGGGCTCCTCTCTGGAAGGTTGTGTGGGGCTTCTTCTGTGGGCTGGCTAAGCCAGCTGTGTTGGTGGTGGCTGGCTGCTCGGACCCTCCCCCTCTCGTCGTGAGCTTCTTCAGCACTGCTGCCTGTCGGAGGTGGTCCGAAAAAACAACTTCCCCTTTGCGAGTCCTTTTCGGGTTTCGTCTGTGAGCTGCTGCCAACGTGCATCTGCTTTGCCCGTGATTGTTGGTGGTTGTTGTCGGTGGCCGCTATAGGATCCCTGGCCTCCCCCCTGCATAATGCTGTGCTGGGCTGCGTGCCTGCTGGTGATTCTGTGAGATGCTGCCAAAGTGTTGCTGCGTTCGCCGTCCCAGGTTGGCCCCGGCTTCGCCTTCTGGGACGCTGCATTGGCGGTGGCTGTAGTTAGTAGCTGCTTGGACCCTTTACCTTTGCTTGCTGATGCCGTCGAGCGCTGCTGCCACGAGTGACTGATTCTGTGGCGTGCTGCGAACACGTCCCTGTTTCCACCCTCGCTGCTGACTGGGATCTGTCCATGTGCAAAGCTCCACTCTCGCCCTGCCGCTGCAGTGACGACCTGGCTGCAAGCAGATGGCGATGGTGGCTGCAAGAAAAACACTGCACACACTGCTACAGTGCAGACTCGTGCTGTACATGCCAGGATGTCAACAAGAAACGAAAGATTGAATGCCTTATGCTGCAGAGTTGGTTGCGCAGACCCATGATGATGAGCAGAAGTACTGGCTGTAAATGTCATGATGATGGGGACATACCTCGCACACTGGCAAGCATAAGAGCGACTGGCAGCAGAAATGGCTACGTTTGTTCGTGAGCAGTACACAAAACAACCCCCAAAACAGCTCTGGCAGCTATGGTGGCCTTGTGGTGGTTGCATCATGATGGATAGCACCAACAGCAACAAACCGTCGATAAAACCAGCACAGTGATCACGGTAAAGTTCTGTCTCTGCGCCCCTGCGTAAGGCCCCGTGATCAGTTCCACCGACCGTAGAGGAGAACTGATCTCCAAGAGGCAGCAGCGGTCGATTGGCAAATGGGTAGGGCCTACAGTTCGGGCCTAACGACATCTTTGATGGTGGGCTGCTGTGTGGGACCATCTTCGAGCTTTAAGAACTTCGACCGCATCCCGCAGGACCGTCGTGGGAGCACGATTCCTGACTTCACATTGGCAACCTTCTCAACACTGAACTCGACGTCCCCGGAAGAAAACACGGCTGCCGAAGGGCCTATGGAAAGAACCAAACTTTTTTGTGTTTGTGCTTCGGGACTCATATGGGCCACAAGAATACGAGGCCCCCGCGGGAGAAAAAAGCGGAACCGGCACAGAGGCTGACCGCGTGCGCTTTGTAATCAGTACTTCGATACATGCACAGAACATCGCAGAACGTAACAGCCCGTTATATGTTGTGTGACCGCAGTATTTGGGGGAGACGCATCCGGTCGGACTTGTCAGGGCAAGCTCTTCCATTTCGCACTCGGAGATTCGCGCCCAAGCACCCATGCCCGGCATGTTTGAATATCTTCCTTATACAAACATCGGAAGCGTGTCAGTGAATATCAACAACACACCCGGCCTCTTTCTGGAGAGCTGGCCCATCCGGGAGCCTTTCTCGTTCCATCCTTGGAGCACTAGCTTCTGGTTACCCGCAGTGCCAAGTTGACCAGAAGCTTGAGTCTTTGAGCTAAATATTTGGGACAACAACTTATGTGCATTCAAAGTTGACCAGAGCAGGAAGCTGGAATGTACAGACTCGCAGTGCGGACATAACCAGGCATGGCTGATGTCGAAACCACTTCAGGAGGGCCGAAAGCACTGACAGCTGCCAGCAAGACCCTCGATGCGGCTTCACACCGAGATTCGCTTTCTCGGTCATCTCGGAAACGTCGAAGAGCTTCAGATGGCTGGTTTCTCTATAGTGGCCATAGTCCACCATCTTCAACTGAGGCGAGAACCAACTGAGGAATTTTCTGTAACTTTAGACAAAATCTGTACATACGCGCATGAATACATATCCACATATACACTTGCACACCTGGAGTAAGATGGATAACTAGATAGCCAAGCTAGGTCTGTAAGTGGAAGACTGGATACATACAGACAGATGAGACGTGACGGGGCTTGAGCGTGTTTTCAACACCTGGATCCGGAAGCTTGCGCTACTTCACGGAGTGGGAGTCGGCACAGCTGTCCCTGCCAGCATTCGGTGCTGGGCACGAGCCCAGGATCAAACATAACGGCCCTCCCGACCCGAAGCCACTGGCTACCTAACTAAGACACTCCAAGCTTCCAGAAGCAACGCCTTTACAAATGAGAATGCCGGCCCAAGGCCTGCGACAAAAGAGGTGTTGACAAACTCTGCTTCGCCTAAAGTAGCGCCCTTGCAGATCTCCAACCGCTGAAATTCAACAGTTGGGTTGAGCTCAAACCGAGTCCCTTTGCATCCAGCCTCCCTCTTTCGCTTCCTGGGCTTCCTCAGATCTTATGGCTTGTGGCTGGCGAGCTAGGTCTTGCTCTCCGAACCCTTTCTTGCCCCAAGTCAGGTGGAATGCCAGAGCAGGACTTCCGATCCGGCAACGCACATCCGGCAAAGCCGTCAGGTCGACCCTTCAACTGCTTTCCAATGCAGACCGGGAACTCCTTTGACTCTGGCGGCTTTTGCTCCCGCGTCCATGCTTCTACTTGGTTCTGCTGCCTCTATTCAGGACCAACAGAACAGGGCTTGCATCAAAGCGTTCCTTCAAACTTCAGAAAAGTCCTTGCGTAGGTTCAGGGTGGGAGCACGTACAGCGGTGGCAGTTGTTGCTAAGTAGAGGCTGTGCAAAGATGTATGTTCGGTCTCAGATCTGGCTCATGTTGCCTGGCTGAATAACGAATTGAGATGCTAGCTGCAGATTGATTGTCCCTGGCACACTGCATTCGCAACCAATGCCCATCTTCAAGCCCCAACTCGTGCCAAATAGAAGCTCTTCGTCTTGCTCAGGCAAGAAAATCTCAAGGGGGACGCTTGCTATGAAGCCTCGCCTGGCGATGTTGATGACTTTGCCATTCCTGAGTCGCACCACGACTGCAAGAATCTGCATGCGATCACGGGGCAGCAGCGCCTAAGAGGCAAAACTCATGCAAGCTTTACAAAGCCTCTCGACTGTTGGAAGCTGGGGTTCTCGTCGGTGGCCTGGGAATCGCGTGCCGCATCGAAATCGGGAAATGTGTCCTGCAGCCGAGGCGGATGCTGCAAAACTGTGCTCTCTGCTACTGAAAAGGGCAAACGCTGAATTCATGCTTTCGGGTGATGCATGCCAGGCATGATGGATTTTGCGCCATAGTTCATTTGTCGGCTGCTTCATGGCCCGTCCGCAGACCCGCTTGGCAGGTAAGAGTTCATGCTCTCTGCAGCTTCCGTCCTGCTTCCCCTGTTCCATCAGCGACCCGAAGTGTGCCTGTGGTCGGCAAGGATCATGGCCCTTTGAAGAGTGAGTACTTTGCCTCTTGAAGAAAACTTCAGCGCTTGCAACTTGGGCCTTACCCTAGGGGTTGGCACGTGGCTCAACTGAGCCCTGGCCTGAAGACATTGATCATAGCTACACCACAGAGAAGCACAGATGATTTTGACGATGTCCCCTGTTCCCAGCAGACCTCGATGTCTTTGAGAAGTTTCCAGGAACGGCCTTCTGGATCCTAAGCTGCAGCTCTGGATGCTGAGGGCAACGCAATGTTTCCTGATGAGTTTCCGGTCGCGTATCCCCCAGATGAAGGCACGACATCCAGGCTGCGATAAACATTTGGAGTAGGCCGGTGAATGTGAGCGCCATCCCACTCCCTCTGATCCAGCAGGTATGGTAATGGCCAAAAAGGCCATGATCACAAGTCCTGGTCTGATCGGTTACCAAGCTTCGTAGTAGGAAGAGCAGAGCTGTCCACAGTTCTCTTGAAGCTTCGCCTCACCGCTCCAGCCTCGACTCTCAACGGTCGCCGATCATTCAGATTCCCATGGTCTCTACTACAGAACTACAGTAGATTCACTATGGTCTGGGCCTGCCGATGGCAACTTCTCGATTTGGCACAACTGATCCACAGGTTTTTTCCGGTATCAAGGACCATGGGGAATTCCGTGTGTATCTCAAGCCAGGGACACAGTTTCTGCTTGTTTCGGCTGTGCCGAAACAGATTGTCAGCAAGTATCCGATAAGGCTTGTTTGGATCAGGAAGGCGTAAACTCCGAGTTGATTTTCCTGGTGGTCGGGATTATCTTGGGCATCGTGGTTCTCCGTTCCTGATGAGGGAGCTACTGTATGCAGGCATACTTCAATTGCAGGATCCGTGTGAAGAGCTCGAGCAGCGTACAGAGGCAACAAGAGCTGACACATGTCTTTAGTCCAGTTCACCAATTATAAAACCTCAACATGCTCACACACGATGGGGAGAAAGGATACATTCGCAGTAACAGCCCTGGCAACTTGCAAAGCTTAGCAACCCCTCATGCTCGAACCAGGAAAGGATGTACGGCGTGCGAAGATATCGGATTGTTGAAGTCCTACAGACTCAACACCTCATCTGCATCTTCAACATGGGGCACTGGACCCCTGCGATGCAATCGTTGAAGACTCGAATGATCGGATCCCTGCCCTAGAGGCGACGAAGGAAGGTAAAGAAGTGCGCAGTACTCAAACCCGCGAGTGTTCGCTGTTCGACAAATGATAAATTACGGCAACGATCCGTCTGGAGGCAGCAAATATTGCAAACCGAAGCTTCTCAAAAGAAACGACTCTCCCACAGAGCAACACGGCAACACTGGCTTCATGAGCTGCGGCTCTTCCTATTACAAACGATGTGACATCGTTCAACCATGTCACATGCATGCGCTGAAAGCATGAACTCCCGGAACAGGTTTGAATCGCAGGATTCCCAGGGGGAAGGTCTAGCATCCGCCATATCCAGACGAGCAACCCGGCAAAGCCATGACGAGTGATCCAGTTAGGGCGCCGTACACAGCACGAAAATTTTCGATGTGCCTGGGTCACCCAATACATTTGATGCTGCACAATGGCCATGGGCTTGTCGCTTGGAAGAGCTGTTTCTGACAAATGGCTAGGCAACTTCGTGATCGCCTGGGATCCCACTCGCGATCCTGCTTTGCAATTAAGGGCAGATGCTGGCTTCAACATAGTTGGGCCGTGCTGTAGGTTGTGCTGCATGCATTGCCCTGGAAACTACACTATCTACGCTGGCACACCTTGCTTTTCCGCCGGAAGCCACTTCGTACATCTATGCCTCAGGCCGGTGATGCAAAAATGTCCAGATCCTCTGTGTAGCTAACGAACGCGGAACTTTGCTATGTTGGCGATGCTGCTTCAGGCCTACTAGGGAGGTGACCATGTTGATGCAAGCCTCAGCTAGAGCTCGTCCAATCAAAAGGTCACTACATTGCGTAGGGCCGAGTTCCTCCTTGTGAGTCCTTGACTAGGCGGCGACAGGTTGAAATCCTGTTTTGCCACTGGAACTCATGTCGCTGGACCGGATCACGACGGGACCCTTGCTGCTGGCTGACATGCGCAGCCTTAAGTGTATTTCCCTGCCGAGGTGCTGCTCACGCTGTTGCTTCTTCCTGGGCAAAGCGAGTGGTATGCTGACGGCTCGCGGCGAAAGCCCATCATTGTGCACAGTTGGGCCATCTTGAGTATCTACAGAAGTCCCACGTAGGCCAACCCACTTCGTTCCGAGTGGCATCTCTTTCTTCTTTTCCGATTCTTCTCTCCGGCGCTGGGCCTGCACTAAAGCGATGCCAAGCCAAGACGACGACGGCTTTTGATGCAACTCCACCTGCTCTTGTTCTTTCTTGTCTTTCATCTCTTGGTACATCGCCGTAAGATCTTCGCCAGTGTCTTCCAGATGCCTCGGCTCGGACAGCTCTCCATCATTCGCAGAAGCAATTCTTGATCCTTCGATGTCGTGCAACATCACATCTTGTGCAGGTCGTTTAAGGCTCGATATGTCTCTTGAAGCTACTTGTGACACAGGATGCCTCGTACAACGAGCTCAGTCATTCAATAAGATGGCAACTCAATATAAGCCGACCGCAAAAACACTCAGCTCTTACAGTAGCTTCCGGGAGATGTCTCTTTCGTCGAGAGGCTTTCTCAGAACCTGGTTGATTGTGCAGTAGTTTGAGCCGCCCCCGCTCGCTTTCTGGAAGCGGATATATGTCCTTGGTACAGAGCCACGCAATGGCATGCAGGTCTCGACCCTGCAGGCTGCTCTGGCCAAGTGAGTCTGTGACAGCAGCCCTTCAACACAAGAAGCCCTTGTATCGCCTAACAAGTTGGTCTGAAGGACTTGCCGACACTGCCGCCGGTTTTGTATACTTTCCTCAGCTTCGTCAAGCAAGGTCTGACCACACCGACCTCCACAAGACAGTATCTCGCGCCACTGTCACCACTGCCCCTCTCCCAGCCTGTAGAAGCTCAGGAGACCAACTTTTACATATCAACATGCGTCAATTCGGAACCATTCAGCCGGTGCCAAGTACAAGCTTGAAGCGAGCTTACCCAAGCTCAAGCAGTGCTCCAACCGATCGATCCATGATGAAGTACTTCAGGCATCGCTTCTCATGCACAGCGATTCTGCCACGAAGCAGACTAAAACAGTACTCCGAAATCCTGGAAGGCACAAGATCGAGGGTTTGGGGCCGTGGTGCTCCACTTGCTCCCATCCAGCAGGCAAGAATGTGTCAGGATCCAGCTTGCCATTGGTGGCTTTGTTTCGCTTCCTTGGTAGTTGGAGTTGTGGTGTGCCCTTGCCGGAAAGCCTACCGGCCTACCGTTCTTCAATTGCAAGGTTCCAGAACCTTATGCCAGCGGAGATCCCCACACAGTGAATGACCACACCAGAGGCACACAATTAGGACTAGGAAGTCACGACCACCGGGCCGGTGGCTTGCCTGTCTTTTGGGAAAATACAGGCTGCAACAAGTTGCATTTGTGTTTGCCATACTACTAGGAGTTCACTGTGCTCGGGAAGAAACTGATCGCGACTGGTTGCCATCTGCGTTTTGCCAGCATTTATGCCGCATTCCGTGCACTACATCTGCACTCCAGTTGTATTCGAGCCTGCGGGTGCCACTACAGCACTACGTGTACTGGAACACACCAGTTGGAGCTCCGACCACGCCTCGAATGCCTTCCCCCGCCAAACTGCAGTGCGGCCCCCCCCCTCCTCCGGTAGCTTGCGAGATCGGAAGGAACACTCCAAATCGTTTCCCTCAGTTCCTGCTGCTATCAAGATCGAGAGCACAAAGTGGTATATGTATATTTGAAATAAAAAGTGCCCCCGGGTCGTGTGCGTCAGGCGAGCCCTCCCCATTGACAGGACATCGATGAAACTATGCACCACGCCACAGCGGGAGACAACCTGATTTGCAGCATTTGCTCTAAATGATAGGACGTGGGAAGCTCCTTGACGTGCAGCACCCCGCCTCAATCAACACTCTCTTTACCCCACTGCAAGAAACCCACATACCACACTGTCTGTTCGGGGAACATTGTCAGCACGTTGGCTTGGACTCATAATCAAAGTGGGAGATGTCGCGGGTGAAGAAACCATTCACTTTGACTTGACCGCACATTCCATTGCTGCACGAGGTTTGACCTGCAAAGGGGTTATGTGATATTCCAGTGGCATCTTGGAAGACTGGTGCGTCTGTACACACACAAATAAACACGAATAAGACATGAACCGAAGAACATATCATGTATAGCAACAGTATGTGGTGCAGGGTGTCATTACCAGTCGCGCCAAAACAACTAAACTCACACTGCACGCGCAGCAATCTTTTCGAAGAACCCTTGTGATACGCTCGGCAAAACCCTAATGTGAATCCACTCTCTCTCTCTCTCTCTCTTTCTTTCTTTCTGCTGGGCTTAGGGGTCGTCAAGACCCTCAGGCCATAGGCCCGCCCAACCCACCCACTGTGTTAGTGAGCGGTTGGCTTTGGTGTTTTTCCAGAATCTGGCAGAGAACTACGTAGTGTGCCCCGATTCTGGGTCTTCATGTAGCGAGCCCCACCCTTTACACTAAACCTCCCGCGTCCCGGCCTCTTCCCCGCGCCCCTCTGGCTATCCATGATGCCGGGTCGCGCGTCATCTCCGAACATGCCGAAGCCCGCTTCACCCATGTCGATGTCAAGCCTGCGATGGGCTTTTGGAGTGCAGATCCAAACGAATCTCGCGAGCCTAGATGCTTGTCTGGCGGCACCGCGCAGCCCGATGCTCATGCACACCGTCCGGGGGGTGCCGGCCGTGAGGGGGCAGGCGGTGCGGGCCTCAGCTGTGGCTGCAGCCCGGACGGACATGGCAGCACTCACGGCGTCTGAGGCAGACTTCTGCTGCTCCCAGTGCGGAGTCAACTGCTACGACCCCATCACGGTCACGACCACCGAGGCCTTGCAGGATGCGGGCACTTGCATCGGGATCAGCGCTGCGGAATCTGCGATGCCAAGGCGCCTCGTGTGGTGGTCCGGCGCCACTACAACACGGTGGTCAGGACTGCTCAACTGGCTATGCTGGTGGCCTCATTGGTCAAGCTGAGGGTTGGCCGTGAGAGTGTCTGTGACCCTTTATTGACGTGACCACGCTTGGCATGAGGGGGGTTCCGGTAAACCACTACGTCCCTTGGCTGCAGTGCTTTCGAGAAAGCCCTTGCTTGCCTGCTGGCACAGTGCCCTTCCATCCCAGCAAATCCTGCCAGGTGAAGGTGCAGATGCCGCCGCCTGCGCCCATCATCCACACCGTGCACGTGGTTGCAACGGCCTCAGCCTTGCTCGAGACTGCCACCAATCATACAGAAGCAGCAAAGTCCGAACGTCGCTCTTTCTTCGTTTCTATGCCAACTTTCATGTCGCGAGATGTGCTTCTATTTGAATCCTTACTCTACTCTCATCGGACCCCTGATTTGCGTCTCTGCTCAGAAGCCCAACGCCCATTACGAGTGCTTCGACGGCGGCGACTACGCCCACGAAATGTGGTCCGGCGCGCACAAGAGGTGGTGCTGCTACAAGTACAAGGAGGACTCATCCACATTGTGACATGTCTACGAGTGTGACTGTAGTTTGTTACTGCGCAAGGGCTGCCCAAAGCAAGTGGTGGACCGCAACATCTACCACCACGTGACCAAGATTCAGCAGCTTGACTGGCCTCTAGCTACTTGCGCAACTCCTAACATGTCAACTCTGGCTGCCGAGGAAGTTGCATGTGCCGGTGCCGGTGCAGGAGCCGCGGGGTCCTCCAGCCGCTCGGCTTCGCCGGAGTTGATACTACATCTGCATGTATCAATTCGACGATCCGGGGTTGCTCTGGGCTCGAAGACGCTCGTCTCGGCACTCAGATCATCCACAACATCCCGCAAGTCTACCACGTGCCGAGCCCGCCGAAGTATGTGCACGTGCCGGTGCCAGGGCCCAAAATCCACAAGGTCGCCGGGGGCCGAGCTCCAGCCAGTGCAGTAGATGTAGTTCATGGCTCATGCAGCAGAGCTCCGAGAAGCACCACATGTCCGCGACCGTGAGGTCACTATCAACAAGGACGTGCCTTATCCCGTAAAGGAGCCTCCCCAGGCACAGTGCTTGCTGGAATTCCCCCGGTAGGCCACACTAGTATGCAGGGCGACGTTGGCAAAAGACAGTAGGCTTACCGACCGTACAACAGGATCAACGTGGTACTCGGGGCTTTCGAAAAAGTTGCAAGCTCTGTGGGTTCCTAGTGCGTGCGGATTGGCCAAAAAGGCCACAGGTCCAGGTACATAGCAAGTCTAGGTACGCAGCAAGCAGGAGAAGTTCACTGCACTCACCGGTTTCCCCCTCATTTCTGGGCTTCACGCCTATGGCTGCACACACTAGAACGAGAGCAGCACCAAGAATTCGTAACGGTAACGGCGTGCTTTCAGCCAAGCTAGCTAAAGCCTTAAAGGTAACAGTGCGCTTTGGTGGTATGCTGCCCCCATGGTGAGACTAGCGGCACTAGCTGGGTTCCACACAGGGGCCTCATTCAGAACAGCAAGGACTAGCACACGACTAGTTGCAAGGACAGTCGGGCTCCCAGGCTTAGCGATTTCCCCTGTTGTGGTGGCTACGGGCGGTTGAGGTGCTCCCCCAGCTCTCTCTTCTGTTGGCAGCACAGCACACTACAACAACGGACCCCCAAAGAACAGCAAAGCACGACAAAAGGACACCCCCTAGTCATCATTGTCTAGAAAGCTGGGGTTGGAAAAACGGCGTCGCGGTTCAGTGGGGGCTCGTGGCGGGAACTCAGTTGAGGTTCCCCGTCGTCTCCCCGTCGTCGCTGACCAGTTCCACGTCGCTTCCCCAGTAACTGCGGGTCCATGCGTCGAGCTCCCCCAGTGCCGCCGCGGTCAGCTGCTGGGCTTCCCCTTCAAGGAACGGGAGGAGCTTTCTCAGTGTCTTCTTCGCTCTGAAGACGTGCGTCGCGTCTGGCCCTTCGCCACGTAGAGCTCGTCGTTGCGGTTCTCCCCCTCGTTCGGCTCTCTGTTGGCCTTCTCCCCCTCGTAGCGCCACCATTGCGTTGGGGTGTGCACTCATGGTCTCTTGTGCCCCCCGGTGTGGGTAGATGCCCACTAGCGCAGTCACCCCTTCGAGGTTTTGCAGTTCCCCCAGTCGGTTCATGCCCCAGGAGCGTCTGGATCACGGCCTCCGCCTCTTCTGCTGCGTCGGTCGCTTCGTGGGTGAGCTGCCAGTTGCTGGAGCGTAGTCCCCCCCACAAGAGCGCAGAGCCGCTTTGTGAAGGAGGCACACACGCCTCACACCCTTGCAGGCAAAAGCCTCGCACAAATTGTTTTGCCGCTCCTGGCTCAACGCTCGAGCACCCTTGCCCTGCGGTCGGGTGCTGACATGATGCACTCAGATCTCACAACACGCAGCACACAGATCATGACACATGAGAGCTTACACCAGTCATATTCCTGAGATTCTGAGACATCAAGTCTTCCTCTTCGGGCTTTGCTTCAGCAGTGCCCCACGGAAGTCTCTGCTCCTCTGCAAATTGCTGGAGGGCAGCCAGAAAATTAGCGGAGAGTTCTTGAACACGCTTTTCGTGTTCCCGCTTGTTCAACTTGCGGCCTGCTGTGAAATCTGGGTCGTAGACCAGCCGCCACTCTTGACGTTGGGAGAGGAGTTGTAGAAACACCTTTCGAGCGGAAGCCTTCGTCAGGGCATCAGCGATCATCTCGGTGCCAGCCACCCATCGTAAAATCGTGCCGGCCTCGACGGCTTGGCTCACTGAAGTCGTGAGCTCGTATCCTGCCCGGGAGCTCCTCAAACCGTGCAGCGCCGAGGTGTTCCGGGTCATGGCATCGAAGATCCCACGGGAGTCCATCACCAGAGCGCCGGTGGTGTGCTCACGGATGAGCTGGTTCAACTTGCCTCGCTGAGGGGCAACTCCGTTGAATTCCATCCACATGGCACGAATCAAGTAGACGAGGTCCTCGCCAACGGTAATGGCCTGCACCTCGGAGCCATTCGATCCAAGGCTCTCCCTGGGGGCCTTTGTCGATCGCCATGACACCACATTCAGTGGAGTCTTCTCCCCTTGGAGAATTTCTCGAGGAGCAAGAGCTCCTACGATGCCCACGGTGCTGCCCTTCTTGGGCCGGTTGTTTTGCGCAGCATCCGCCCACACGATGGCCACCAGGTCCTTCCACGGTCTTCCGAACGCATGGAAGACAAGAGTCTGCTCGGCGGTTCGCCGAGCTTCACCGACCAGGCGGTTTGCCCGGACCAGTGTGTCCACAGTGGCCTGCCCAACTTCACTCAACAGCAAGCCTGCCTCCGCCGAAAACTGCGGGCTTGTCTGCGTCGAGCGCCACGCCAGCGTTCCAAGGACACCGCGAAGGTGACCGATCTCGCGCGCGGTCAACGGACTGTTCTTCTGCCGGGCACGCTCCTCAGTCAAAGGAGCCTCCTCGATCCACTTCTGCGTGTAGGTCTCCTGTCCCAAAGTAATGGAACCATCGCTCTTTTGCTCCAGGTCGCAGCCAGCGAACTCAAACTTGCCTTGCTCCCATCGGCCCCAAGTGAATGCATTCTCGAGGTCCTCTCGGGCTTTGGCATAGGTTGCTGAGTTCCGGTTTCCAGCGACCAAGAAGTCGTCCACGTGTACCCCGGCGATGCCACAGAGCTCGCCGGTCTTCTTGTCGAACAACACGTAGACGCAGCGGTCCGCCGAGAGAGGTTTCCATCCTTGCTGCTCCAAGACCTTGGTGACCGTCTCGTGCCATCGCCTTGGGCTGTCCACTAAGCCGTAAAAGGCACGAAGGACCTTGAGGATTGTCCGATCATCTTGGCCCGAACCTCCAAAAGCTGCACCGAGTTCCGATGGTGCATACACGTAGAGGTCATCGGCCTCCAAATTGGACATGGCCTGGAGGAACGCCGAGGTAACATCGGCAGATTCTAAAATCCACTGACAATTGGCCACGGTGGTCAGCAAGAGGAACTTGCCCAGTCTCGAGAGAGTCGGGGACGAACTCTGTGGTGTCAAGAGGGTCGGCGACTGGTACCCGAGGATCACCAGTCTCGCCTTGGCAAGGCCTGATGATTTGGTGGTTAGCACCCACCTCATTTGCATCACTCTCTCGGGCTTGATCCCGGCCAGTTCGCTTGCAGTCAGGGACCTCAAAGCAGATGTTTTCAGCACGTTGCTGATTTCCTTGGCCTGGGCTTCATCATATTCCAGCTTCTGCTAGTGTGTAAGCTCTCGCCAGTTGTGCTCCTTCCCCTTCTCCTGCATGCGCTTGCTAAGCCATATGTGGGACTTCTTGGGCTTTGCAATCAGTGCTTTCCAGTCCTTCTTTTCCATCTCGATCTCCAGGGCATAGCCGATCGCTGCATGGGGATCAGGGAGGAGGATCGGGACGGGGCCGCTTTGGTTTCGGGCGGCCGTCTTCATCCTCTGCCAATTCAGACCCTGAGGAGCTGATCTCTTCGGTCTCGTCGCCAGAATCTTCCACGGGGATCTTGGTGTCGGTCCGGCGGTCATACGCGAAGGGGTTGCCGCCAAGTTAAACTGTAAAACCCTGAGCGGTCACGCTTTTACTCTTGAACCAAAGGCGCTGCGTCGGTCACATAGTATACAGCTATACAATACTATACCGTAGCCTGGGCTCACCAAAGGTGTGGGGCGTTCCTATGTACAGAATTCAACACCCTGCCTCGAAGTCCTTGTGCTGTACTTCGATCGGTCATCGGTCGGGCATACCTCCGCCCGTGACTGCATCGGCTTAGCCATTGCAAGTCCTTGGGTTAAACACTCCGTGCAACCCACCTTTTGACCGTCCCCCAATTAAGGAGGTGTGTCAGACCGTCCTTGTCTTGACTCGTACAGTAACAAGTACTTCGTCCTAGTGAAACATTCCACACAAACTTCCTGCGTTAGCGCTCTTCCTTCTTTTGCGCTTTCGCTGCTGTGCGTTCCGAGGTGAAACTTTTTCAGTCTTGCCTACACTCACTTCTCTGCCTCATACTCGTACACGATGTAGGTCTTACTGACTTCCGAACCACGTTCTCTGTTCTGTGCTGTCCGGTGTACCTGGATCTACATCCATTGGCTTCGAACTCCCAAACAGGTCCATCGGGATTTCCGATCCTTGTGCGCGTTCTTCTGACGCGTCATACATCTCATTGCATTGTTCGCAATACTTCTCATACGATTCCTGTGCTTCTGGGGATAGCATCTTGTTCCCCATCTCTTCCACGGTAATCATCCTTCCGCGGTACTCAATCATCTCCGGCTCTTTCTTCTTTTCCGGTTCTTCCTGGGTTTCTATTCCACGAACGAAGTTCTCATCTCTTATCTCCACATCCTGCTTGTTTCTTCCAGATGTGACTCTTCCACCACGTCGGTAGTCTTCCTCACTTATGATGGGCATACGCACACTCTCTGTGTGTACGATTGATGGTGTTCCCATCGCTGCTCTTCCACGTCTCTTCAAAGATCCTTTTCCATTGCCACTCTTTTGTCCGGCATTCCATGCATGCTTCACTTCATCCGTTACACGGGTCTCTTCTTTTTCCGTGGCATCACCTGTTCCTTCCGTTACTGCTCTGTCATAACTTTTCCTCCATTGTTCCATCGCATATGTCTTGATGCATTCCGTGCAAGAACATTTCTGGTGGTTTACCTTCTCCCTTGTACACTTTCGTACTCCGCACCAGTAGCACTTCTTTGTGCATCCGCCATTTGACTCTACTTCAAAGTCAAGCTCCATTACTTCCCAGTCGCTTTCGTCTGGGGTCGGCGGCTCTATGCGCTCTCGGCGTCTTCTCGAGCTTCCTTCTGGTTTCGTCTCTGGGAAACAAATCCAACATGCCCTAAAGCCATCTTGCTCGGCTTCTTGTACGTCCTTCCAGACCCACCGGCCTGGCTTCTTGTGTGACCCTTGGGCATGCCAGCAAGTAGCACGGTGATATACACGTGCACGGCTTCCCGTACTGATCTTCACACGTCCAATACCTCGCAGGTTTTCCAAAATTCTTCCAAGCTTTGTCCATACCGTGATAACATACGGCACTGCGAGCAAAAATACGCATACCATCATTCCAACTTCAAACTTCGTGAAGTTTCCGTCCATGGCGCTCATACCTTTTTCCAAGGTTCCACAGGTCTCTACTTGGGCGTCAGATACTTCCTCCTTGAGCAATACTGCGGTAATCGGCTTCATCAAATGAAATACCTGTATGGCTCTAATGAGACTCTTGATTTGTCCACTTCCGACATACTCCTTCAGTTTCTTCTCTTGTTCATGTTTTTCATACTCTTTCTCTCCAGTATACTCCAAGTTTCCTTCTTCATCATACTCTACTTGAGACAAGTGATACAGTAGAAATGACCTTCGGGCATATGACAACTTCTTGGTGTTCAGATCCGCTACATTGAGCGTGGTTCGCACTGTACCAAGTTTTACAAGATTGTCTCGCACCCAATCTTGCAGTTGACACAGCCTAACGTCCACATGCTTCAGACGTCCAACTCCTCGTCGTTGACTCCACTGTCGTGCAGATGATGAATCGCACCGTATCTCCACGCGTACAGGCGCGTTTACTAGGAACTCAAATAGCCTTCCGACTAGGATTGCTTCTCCACAAGTTCCACTTAGTGCATACAACTCTGCTTCACAGCTTGATGATGATGTGGCCTTCTGAGTCCTAGAAAATGATAACACTTGCACTCCGTTCAGTACAATGATTCCTGATGAGGTACTCTTCCTTCGGGCTCTGTCCGGGGTCTTCAGGCTTGCCCAATCACTGTCCGAATACGCTTCCACCACATGTCCTGCATCCTTGGCAATTTCTTCGTCTTCTTGGCCATTCAACTTCGTGATCAACCGGCTTCCGATTTCGGTATACGGTAAAAGAGTAGCCCTTGTGGCTGTTCCACTCAAATACAGAATCAAGTGCTTCAGACACTTTAGTGCCTGCAACGTCGGCTTCGACATACTTGATGCCAAACACTTTGAGGCATACTGAATGTCAATCCTGTCCTGTGCAAGGTACAAAATTGATCCAAGTCCAGATCTAAACCGTTTTGTCTCTTCAGCACTCAACTCCTTGGTCCGGTCTTCCTTCACCAGATCCACATGCTCTGGTGTGGCCTTACTCTTTAATTTTCCAAGGTCATACAACTCAATGAGCTTCCGAACATACTTCTCATTCGGTTGGACAACAATTCCTTCTCGGGTGAAGACATACTTCCTTTTGAGATATCGCATCTCTTCTCCACTTCCGACTCCATTCGCTGGGTATGGTCCTTCTTTCTCCACCTTGAATACCTTCTCCAATTCTTCTACCAACCAAATGGTTTCCTCTTTTTCTCCTGCTAGTAGCTCGTCATCTACATGGATAGAGATACACAGCTTCCTTGTGGTGTGCCTAGCTAATGCGGGTACATGTACTGAGAACACGAATCCCAGTTTCTCAAGTATACTCCGCAAATGTTCATACCACCTTGTTGCGGCGTTTCTTTGACCAGGTAAGCATCTCTTGAGCCTCCACACTATTCCTTCTTTCAGGTTCGCGGCTCGCTTCATCCAATCACTAATTGTGATTAGCACCTCTTCTTGCTGCGGGACCTGAAGGTACGCGTCCTTTATATCAAGTACGACTACGACCCAGTTGTACACCAGGTGTAACAACAAGACTAGGCGCGACGCGGCATTGCTTGCCGTTGGGCTGAATGTCTCAGCTGTGCTGCTCGCACCTGCCCTGTACTCCCTGGCCACTATACGGCACCTCCTTTTCCAGCGTCCATCACGATGCCTCCAGTCGTAAACTTCGCGCAAATCCATACGTTTTTCATCACCTGTTGCGTTCGCCTCCATGAATTCCTCGATTACTCCTAGCTTACTGAGGCGATTCAATTCCTCCACGGCTGCTTCCTGATCCAAGGTATCCAGTTCCTCTGGACTTAGCTCGGGTGGTGTTTCTCCTTGGTCGTTCCTTGGAACTTCTTCCATCTCTTCTTCCATGAGATCTTCATACTCCACGTCTTCTCCTTCTACTGCTGTGAGATCCTCATGTTCATCCCAGTGAAAGGGATCATCTTCCTGAGATACCCTGCCTGCGAACAAAGGCGGGTAGATTCCTCTTGAGGGAGATGATGGTGATGATGGCATTTCTCGTGACTTTTTCGGCGATCCTTCTACTTCCTGTCCTCCTTCTACAGCTCTCTTCCTGAGGTCTTCTAACAAAGTATCATCACTGACACGTCCTTCTGGTTCTCCAGGTGGTGCGTCCTGCATTGAACTTGAACTCCGGGAATGAGAACTAGATCCCGCGCTGGTCATACCTCCGTTTGAGGCCCTGCCTCCACTTGAGGCCCTGCCTCCGCTTGAGGCTTCACTTGTGTCCAACAGATCCAACAGTTCCTAGACCTGTTCCTCTTGGGACTGTCCTCGATCTTCCGCACGAACTACGGGTTCCTGTGCTGTTCCTTCTTCCTCTGCGATACTTGCCAATGCTGGGGCTGGTAACGGCTGTCTGGTATACGTTCCTTTTGGCTTCTTGGGGTTCCATGGAGTTACACTCAGCTTCAGTACTGGTTCCTTTCTCCATCCAGTGGCGATTCGCCTTACAGATCCTGTTGCCAAGATTCCGTCTTCAACTCCTACCAAGTGCATATCCTGAGAGTTCTTACCAAGGTAGATTCCTCCAATCCAATTTGCTGTTCCTTTCTTCTCTGGTTTCTTCAGCGCATACACATACTCTCCGAATGGGGCAATCTTCCCAAGGTAAGGTCTACCAACGACACTTTCGTAAGGGGTTGACCCTATCGCGGCGTGTCTGTGGTACCTGTTCAGCAACCATGACGCATGGCACAATCCCCAGGCCCACACTGCATGGCCTTCGGGAATCTCTATACCAAGCTTTCTTTCGGCTGCTCGTACCAAGCAAACTGTTTGGTTCCTCACCGTCTGGATAAACCTTTCCACTCTTGCCGTTCTTCCTTTCTGATACGGCTTGCTGTTTTGATCGTGTGTTTTGCGGTTCATCTTTCTTCGAGTTTCCACGATTGCAGCTATCAGTGATAACATTGCCTCTTCCGAATCTCCAACAAATCCGACTTCCTCCAAGTGTCCAAGACTGTGTACCCATTTCAACACTTTCTCCACGGTCTTTCTCTCCGTCTGCTTTCCAGATACAGGGATCACAACTGACATCCTTGTCCATGAACAGATTCCAACTAATGCTGGTGTGTCCTTTCCTTGTAGGAACATAAAGTCCAACTGAATTATTGGATAAGGCACTCCCACTGAGTCCTTTCCTGCTTCGGGATTCTTCTTTTCGTGATCCTGCTTACTCTTGGCTTCTACGCATGACTCACACCAATGAGCAAAAGGTAGGTGTGTTGCTTCATGAGCAAGTCGCTCTTCTTCCGAGGGTTTGTACGGTTCTGCTTCCACTCGTACTTTCTCTTTCTCTTCGCTCTTTAGCTTCTGTGCAGATTTCTGCATCTCCAACTCTGACAACGGATTTCCGTCTCCA